AACGCTATACGTTTATGGAATTCCATCCCTGCTAATCTAAGAAACTACTTTAACGAAAGCAACTTCAAGCGATCTATCTATATTTATTTTAGTGAATGTTAATTAATAATTTGGACTGACCATCTATTTTTATACCAGAGCGCACGTGTGCACAAGGGTATTATAACTTAGTTCGCATAACGGTTGTTTGTAACAGCCAAAACGAATCGAGAAAGATATAGACAAATGTATACATAAATGATCAGAATGAAAAGAGAAACTGATTAAGCCATGTGTGTCCGTCTGTCCTTGTACACGATAACATAAGATCAAATCGAGATATTTCAACGAAAAATCGCAACAATAACCAAAATCGGCAAAATCGGACAATAACCACGCCCACCTCCCATATGACAGTATTTTCGAAATATGCAAAAGCTACAATATATTCACAAATATTGGATCCAAATTGTTTAGTTGATTTTCGAAGTAGAATTTTGGCATAAATGATACAGTTTGAAATATTTGGAAAATGGGCGTGGCACCGCCCGCTTATGATGAAATGCTATAGCTCTGTAGTCCCTTCACGAATCCCTACCAATCTCGGCCCGAACATGGAATAGAGCCTCACTAAGAAACCCGTTGAAAATTTTTGTAATCAGACAAAAACCAAGCCCACAACCCATTTAACGGTAATAAATTTCAGTTTCGCCCGATCTTATACTTCTTTACTTATTAAATTATATATTATGTTAGCATCCAAATTTACAGTAGCCCGTTCCTTAATTTACCTTTATGTTATTATTTGGATATTTTTTTCTACATCTTTGTTGTACTATAACAGATCCTTGTATATCATTGTACTAATATATCCTCAATTGAACTAAACTGAATTGAAAACAGTCCTATACACTCAGAAAAGAGCATCTCCTTAAAACAAAAGAAAAGTATCCTTATTTATGAGTTACTGTTTTTTCCTTAATATTACGAAAAGTTTACTCAATTTGAGAAGTTTTTCCTAAATTCAGGTTCATGCTAAAATTAGGGCGTCATTAATTTGAGGAAGTAAATTTACTCAATATAAGTAATAATTTCCTCAATATAAGTAATAAGTTCCTTAAATAATTTTGAATTTTGTGAGTGCTGTTTAGACAAAGTTAATTGCTTTCCTGGCAAATGTTGGCTGTGGCGTCGCGTGAAAACGACCGCTTCTGGTTCTGAGATAGCAGGTTCGAGGTCGGTTGGAGGTGGTTAGAGTAAGGTAAGCCAATTATTTCAATTCAAATAGAAATTACAAATTGTACAATTAATTTCATATATGGAAAAACTTAAATACTCAAATATCATCAAAAAAAATTAGATATTTTTTTTAATACAATTTAAAAAATTAAAATAAAAAAATTAACGGGGGATAAAATTACAAGTAAATTTTTCCTAATAACTAAGGAATTGTGTTTTCCTTAAACTGTTATTATTGTCATAAAGGCAAAGAGATCAGAGCAGCGCATTATCGTAATTCATGCAAAACTCACACAACGCAAGTAAATGCATTCAAAGAAGAGTGCAAAAAAGCAAAACCACTTTATAATTCTGTAGCAAAAGCATCAAGGTAGGTATCTCAAATTTAACTTAGAATATTTATGAACTGCGGCATAGTCAACACGCTGATGCAGTAAAATGAGAAATATGAAAAAATCTAAATATGGAAATAATAATAAAGCAACGCTGGGAAATGTTCACGCAAAGAAATCAAAGCAAACTGTTGAGCGCGGTTTGCATTATAACAGTAAACGCTAAAGATGAGAGGTGAAGAAACGAAGTAAGCAATAAAAAATATGCAAATTTTATTAAAGCAAAAGTAAAATATTATAAACTGCAGTTTTATTGAAAAGAATAAAGTCAAAAGAAACTGAAAGACAGACACGCCAACTAGTATAAGCAGATAGGCAAACAAAGCTGCAGCTGAAACTTAAAGAAAGAAAGGAAATTCGGTATTTTAAAGCGCTTTGTTAATAAAAAAAAAAAGTATTTGCCATGCCTATACCAGATGATGCACAAAAACACAACTCAGCCGACATGGAAAAAGGCTGAGTAAACAAAAAGTTTACAAGCAAAGCTGTAAACTTAAAGAGCGTTAATAAATGCATAGATGGGAGCGTGTGTATGTATCTGTGAATTTGTGTGTGTGTGTGTGAGTGTGTGCATTTTCAAGGATGTGTAAACGTAGGGTTAGCTAGAAAAAACAGAAACGATAATCCACATACTAAATATAGGCAAATTCATAGAAATTCATAATAGAGTACACACACAGACATATGTATTTATGAGTAAGATTTTAACTCATAGGAAAGCTAGATAGTGGAGGAGTTTATGTTACAGACATATACATATTACTGCTTTAGTTTTGCAATCACGTTAATTTACTCCTATTCCATGCAATGGTATTATATTTACAAACTTTTTTTTTTACTAAATTCTTTTATTTTATTTTTTGTTTCTGATATTATAACACTATTTTCATTTTAGTTTATGATTCTCAAATCATACTTATTTTAACTGAAGGAAATGGTGTTTCGTTCAGAGATTTCATTTTTTATAATTACAAATAACTGCATACCCACGTATGAGTGGAATATTGACTTATCTCGGCAGCCGGTTCGAAAACGAACTTTCTCAGGAAATTTTTCAAAGAAGTCCCTATCTCAGAATTTCATTGAAGAACGACCTATTTCAGAATTTGTTTGAAAAACTGCCTATCTCATCTGTCGCTTCAGCGAGAGATAGGGCGTTTTTCAACCAGTTCAGCAGTAGGTGGGTTTTTAAGCCATTTCGAAATAAGAAAGTACGCAAAGCTCGAAATACGGGCTAACAGTAACTGGCTAAAGTAAAGAAAGCGCGAAAATTTTACCAGAGAGTTAGGCGACGTAGCGAAGGTTAAAGGCCAGGATGAACTCCTATGGCGACCTAGTGACCGATGTCCAAAAAGTAGTGAAATTATGGAGAAAATACTTTCCCACTCTATTGCATGGTAACAACACTGAAAGTAGTGGAGAAGAAAACCCCGAACTGTCAGTTGATGTCCCACCGCCTGACTATGGCGAGTTACGGACAGGGCTGCCAACTTGGCTAAAACAGTGCCACTTTTGGCCATATTTTATTTCTAATGGAACTTAATTTTTCAATTTGACACAAAGTGCGAAAATGGCACTTTTGAAAAATAGTACCTAATATTTCAATACTTTTTTGCGAAATACTTTGCTTGTACTCCTCAACTCAAATTTTTTAATTTCTATAGTGTATACAACTGGTTTACCTTATTTTGGATATGGACTTTTGTTTTAGGAATGTGTTCACTTCATAGTTAAGGATAGTTGGCAACCCTGGTTACGAATAGAAATTTCACGGCTGAAACACGACAAAGCTGCTGGAGCTGACGGCCTGAACGCATTCCCTACGACTGGAATTTAAGTGTGCTCTGTCCAATTGACAAGGCGACCCAGCCATACGCGCCAACTACCGTAGGATGAGCCGTCTAAGCATTGGATACAAGGCAGGGCCTTTTCAGTGTGGCCTGGCAAATCCGCCATAGAGCAGGTTTGCACCAAATATTGGAAACGACTTGCGAAAATGGGATCGACACACACGATCTAACTGTCGATTTCGAAGCCGCTTTCGATATCACAAAAATAAGTTGTCGCTGCGATTTTTTAAATTCGGTATCCCCCGCGAAAATGATACGGCTTTCAAAATGACGTTTAGCAACACCACCAGCTCCGTCAGAATTGAGAAGGATATCTGCGTGCGATTTACCACCAAACCAGGTTTGAGACAGTGCGACTCCCTTTCATGTGACTTCTTTAATATGATGTTGGAGAAGATTATAAGAGCTGCAGAACTGAACCGCCCATGAACAATTTACTACAAGATAAGAAGCAGAAATGACGGGGTTCTATACGGATTTCGACCAAAGTCCCTTATAAAATAAATTTAGCTTTAAAAGAAAATATTCTCTTGGGGTAGTTCGAGACGGAACTACGTTTAAGAAAAGGCAAATCACTTTCTTAGTTATTCGATTTGACTTTACAAAAAGAAATATTCTCTGTCGATCTAGCGCAATCAACTACTTACAAAGGAAGCGAGATTATGGGATATGTTTCCCACACCAAAAAATGTGAAATGATTTCCTCGCAAATTTTTAAGGATATTTAAGGACAAAATTTGTAAACGACATTTTCCGTACCCATTCGTCCTTATGACCGAAAAAAATTTATTCTGCTATAATTCTACAAATTTGTTTCTTTTATATGATACCCTCATTGTTGTCCTACATTGCACTGAATTTTTAAATAATATAGTGGTAGGGAAATTTGAAATAAACTACTACTAAAGCCCTAAATGGTTGTGAAAATTTCGATTTAGTGCAATTTGCCCAACCCTGATTCATTCTTACAATGAAAAGGTGGAAGAACTGAAGTTTAGATGAACCTAATAGACTCTGCCATAACAAGACCTTCGGTATATCGACTACGTATTACCAAATGACATAGAGATCAGTACACTTCAGTTGAGTTTTGAGTTGGCCTTTTCTTTTTACAACACCTGCAATGTACTCTTTTTCTGAACCGGAAATCGAGTGATAGAAAACCCAGGATGGGAAAGGAAGTACTAATACCGCAGATTTTATTGACTACCGTAAATTATTTCAGTGATAGTTTTTTCACATACGAATGTCTATACATACTATGTTTTCGATAAGCACAACACCAAATTCCACGCAAGGCATAAATTATCGAAAATAGGCAAAAAATAAAAAATAATAATCCACATAATCAAATACTTTTCGCTATATCATTCACATCGAGAAGACAATTTCATTACACTATTATGCACGTATGTAGACGATCATTACATTGAGTTTCTATTACAATAGCAATTATTGTTTTTGCATATAGCATATATGCATTTTTAGCAAACCAGCGAAGATGAATCTCATAAAATTTTTGTTTTTCTTTTGTGTGTACATTTGTCAAATTGCCGCTAAAGGTGTTCAAAATGTCGGATTTTGGCAAATTGTGCGTTGATTGTGGTATTGCCGACGATGTTGTTGTTGTTGTTGTTGTTGTGGTAGAAGTGGTAGTGCTAGTTGTCGTTGTGGTTGTTGTGGTTGCCGACGAACGATGCAAACCGCCCTGTCCATAGCCAGGTATGCGTGCGTTATGCGAGCGACTATTATGGCCCAAAGCGCCCAGAAAGCCCGGCGCTATAATCGAACCAGCAATCAACTGATCGTCGAATGAGTAGCGTGGCGCATGTGCAGTTTAAAATAATTTTCAAAGTTTTCGATTGTTGCGAAATTAAAAAAAGTGCAGTTTGTTTTACATGTGTGCATATGTGTGTGTTAATTATGGATAGTTGGTGTTTTTTTGCAGTGAATTACATTGTTGGCAATATTGACAAAAGACAAGAAGAATTAGAAGTAGAAACGATTGAAAGAGAAAATACAAAATCAATACCTTGCTCTTCTTTTAGCGATTGTGTGTGTTTTTTTTTTGTTTTTATAAAAAAGATATGACATATACATATGTACAGTTTTGCACGGATTATTTACTATTATATGTACTTATGCATGTACTCCATTATTTATAACTATTTGCATTTAATAATATTCCTACATACGAAGATCAAAATCAATTTACAAACAAAATTTTAACAAGAAATTGAGAGAAGAAGAGCTTAAAATATAACCATAGATTAAAACCACAAGAGAGTTAAGTTTGTATTTAGTTTAGTCACAGACACACACACACACGCGAACAAGTTTTTAACATTCATCCTATAACTATTTTCACTGATACCTACATAAGTGCGGTAGACAAATCTATGGAAAGATATTCGAAATAGTAAAAATAGGATCATCCAAAGATCGCACTTTTGCGAGCAAGGAATTCTCCTTCATAAATCTGCGGGCTTCGCGCATTTTATACGCATTTTCCTTATCATGTCGGTCTCCTTGTCGCTGGGGATGGGGTTCAAGTGGTGTTGTGTCAGACATACTGGTGTGCCGGGCACAGCACCAGACACCAAGAGCGGTACTGGGTATAGTAGTGGAGTCTACGGTTGCTCATCCGAAGTTCGGGTGGAGACCATGTGCTGCAGTTCCCATGCACAGACGCCCGCGCCGACGTCTCCTGCCCAACCGGTTCCTTTTCCCCACCCTATCATCCTACCTATCTATTCCCGACCACCCTTCTCCTTCAGCAGCTGCTGGCATAACTTCTGCAATGAGATCCTGCCTGAAGGATGTTTTGAACGCCCTTCTAGCGCTGACCACTGCCTATATCCTGTCGAAGACCTGGGTTCATCGGCGTAGCCAGAATGAAATTTAGGGGGGAGGGGGGGTTTGACCCTATTAAGATGGCATTTCAGGGTACTATTTTATATATATATAAGGAAAATTTGAAAGTTAGGGGGGCTCGAGCCCCCCCCCTGCCCCTACGTGGCTACGCCCATGTATGGGTTCACCACAAACCCCGCTCGAAATTCCCAAGCCACAGTGGCTGGAATCAAGGAATCTTTACGGACGGGTCAAAGATGGAATGCGGAGTTAGTGCAGAGGTTTTCACTGAGAAATATAACCTAAAGTTATCCTTTCGCCCAACAGACTAAACAAGTATTTTCCAGGACGCGAGAACGCAAGTGAATATCTGCCCGGCTAGCCAAGCGGTCATTCAGGCACTATCTTCTACCTCTGTTAGCACTCAACTAGTGGATGACTGTAGTAGACAGCTGGTCTATATTTCTGATCAATACGAAATTACCCGAGCCATAGGGACATTCACGGAAACGAGGCAGCGGACGAACTAGCCCGGAGCGCCTGCGCAATTTATGCCTCAAACGCCAAGCGGAGGTGGAACTGCACAGGATCTTACAGGATTTCGCGGTAGTTCTGGGTGTCCTACGACCCATTTAAAACTAAGTTACTTTGGAATGAGCAAAGAAGATGCCTACAAATTTACCACAGTGTGCATAGAGCACTGGCCCGTTGAGGTGCATCCTTAAAGGATAGGGCTGCCTTTCAATGGGATCTGTTGCAGCTGCGATGACCCGGGCTTAAAAGAGACAGTCGAATACTTCGTTTGCGAGTGTCCAGCCCTTGCAAGGATGAGGCCAAAGACACTCGGCAAGCCAGTATTTTTGACGTACTGAAATTCATTAAAGCCTCAAATTGCTGTATATTGCACGAGTTGTGGAATCAAAATGGCAAACTTGCTAATTGCTAGTCACTAGGGTGAAAACCAGCTTAAACCAACCATACTCATTTTTGACATTGCATGTCCTTAAGCGCGAGCCCTCCGTTTGACCTCCTAAAGTAGTACATATGTACATCCCTTTGTATTCGGTGGTATGCCAATGTATGCCGAGAGGCAGCCGCTTTAGAAAAACGGTTTGTTTTCGAATGTTGCCCTGAGCAGGGATAGAACCTTGGTCCCACCTAGTGGAAGAAGGCACTTTTAGCCACCCAACTGCGGTAGCCGGCGTATTAAANAGGCCAAAGACACTCGGCAAGCCAGTATTTTTGACGTACTGAAATTCATTAAAGCCTCAAATTGCTGTATATTGCACGAGTTGTGGAATCAAAATGGCAAACTTGCTAATTGCTAGTCACTAGGGTGAAAACCAGCTTAAACCAACCATACTCATTTTTGACATTGCATGTCCTTAAGCGTGAGCCCTCCGTTTGACCTCCTAAAGTAGTAAATATGTACATCCCTTTATATTCGGTGGTATGCCAATGTATGCCGAGAGGCAGCCGCTTTAGAAAAACGGTTTGTTTTCGAATGTTGCCCTGAGCAGGGATAGAACCTTGGTCCCACCTAGTGGAAGAAGGCACTTTTAGCCACCCAACTGCGGTAGCCGGCGTATTAAATAAAAGTATTATGGACAACTTTTGGATCCCTAGATTTATGTTTGCTATACTTATGTTCAAGTTATGTAACTACGTGGCTTCATATCCATAAATATTTATGTTCATACGAGAGTGCGATTCTCATTGCTGGGCGAACACTTTAAGAACTTATAATCTTATTTGTATAATAAAATTTTACGTTGCTTTCATTGAGCAGGCAGTGAGAGTAAAGTTGTACGCTTAATAGCTGCAAAGAAGTACAGCGGGTAGTATTTTAAGTACTGAGTTAATGTACATTAAATTTTAAAATTCAGCCACTTATAATAACAATAATTTAATATGTGCCAACGGGTTTTCTTACGATTTGGCTGAAAACATATGGCGAGCGTTAGTAGAAAAGCCATTTCATTTTACTACGGATATTTAATGTCCGAACAATTCGATTCAGAGTTAAGAGTAATAGGGAAAAGAATTGTTTTAAGCTTTGGGAAGCTACAAAGCATTTGCTTAAAATTTAATGATTTCATAGAAGACATACATTTCTGAAACAAAATTTAACAAGCCTTTCATTGGTTTCGTTAAGGAATTTTTTACGCAAAAATAATGTTTTAGCAGCACACGAAATTTAATTTTTTTTCTTTTCGTAAAATTTCGCGAGGTTGTCTGTTGTCAATGGCTGTCAGATACACAAAATTTTACAGTAGTCTATTAATCGATGGCAGAAGCCCTCTCGTACATACCATTGGTACTAGCAAATGTTTTTGTAAATAATATTGGCTAAAAGAATTAAAACTAGCTAATATTTGTCAGAACTTTTTTTTCTATTTAATGTATAGTATAACCTTATGGCTAAATATTGTGCAACACCATATTCGATATGACCTCCATTTGCCACCGACGAAGTCCGTTTGGCCGCTCATCGACAACAAAACCACAAAACGATTTTCGAGCGAAATCCATTCAATGATTGCAATTAACTTAGATCAAAAACTTTAAACACGGCAATTTTGCGTAAATGTCACTTTTCAAATAGCCGTTTACTAAAAGTTTGTAAATTCACTGATTACTGAGAATTGGTGTCTTCAAGCCGTGCACCAAAACATTTACTAGTACGAAGTGCGGATATTCTATGAAGAATACAATGCTAATCTGGCAGGTATTGAGATGGAAGTAAATTAATTTTAAAAGACTTTGCAACATATTTAGTCTTACTAATCAAATGAAAATACTAAAAGCTTTTCTAAAATAGTCAAATAGATAGCTGCATGGGATTGAGAGCGGTATTTGACATATCAGTACTTTCTATGCGAAAAAGCCAAGTGTGGTGCTTTTGTAAGATCGACCTGTACGAGGATACGAAGCACTGAGCTCTTTAATGTGCTACAATTCGCACACAGAAGCGATATAAAAATTGATTAAAACTTTTTTTCCAAACTCAAAACTGTGCTATAAAACTAAATGAAAACCACACATAATATACAACCATCCATACCGACACAAATTTACACGCTTTCACACTTGAACGTGTGTAAATATCGCACCACATTTTTTTCCATTTTGTCTGTGTTGTATCTAAGTATGTAACTAAATGTTGAAAAATGTAAGAAGGAAATACAAATTTACACAGAAACCCAATAAATCAACAAAACCGGGGAAAAAACGACGAAACCAAAAAAAAAAAACAAGGGCAGTAATTTCAAAGAAAAAACCTGAATATTTTATAAGCTGCTGCTGCAACTAAGTACTTACCTCTTTAATTAAACCCCATGTTGGCTCGTTGCCCGGATGCCGTATAGCCTGACGGCTGACGCCAAAACTCATTAGCACCACAGCCAAGAGTACTACAAAATAAATCATGTTTTTAACCATTTTGCCCATCATTGTGACCAAAGGACCTGCATAAAAAAGACATAAATAAAGTTGAAATGGGGATTGAGCGGGGTAAACAATTTCGGTGAGTAAAAGTAAACACCACTGATGAAGTATGTATTAAAATTAAATGTAAATAACAATGTTTTATACTACATAAATGATATCTAAATTTTTTATATACTCGTATATATTTTGCTTTGTTGACTAAATTCATTCGAAAATAAAATCATTTCCGCTTTAATATCTCTGAATATATGTAGCCGCCCCATTTTGCAGTTAAGGCGGGCTACATCAATGTTAGCCCTTAGAAGACTTACGTAGGGATCACACGATTTATACATTTGTACATTTGGCAGTCACGGGGTGGTGTTGTCTAGAAATTTTTATCGAGAATGAGAGTAGCTCAGTAAAAGCTTTCCAAAAAACACCACTCTGTGACGGTGAAAATAGCCAAATCTATACAAATGTTTAACATAGTTACTTTCTCAAGGGAAAGGAAAATGGACAAATTGCGAAAGCTGATCAATGAAAATTCTAAATGCTTTCCTCAGTCTAATTGAAACCTGCATGGGATTGAGGTAGGTACTGGACAGTTCAAAGATATTACTTTGTGTGCGATAAAGCCACGTATGGTGCTTCTGTAAGATCGACGAGTACGAAAAGGCCCATAACAATCAAATATCTGAGGGTTATTCTTGATGATAAGTTATCATTAAATCCGCATATACTAGATACTGCGATTTAAAAGGCAAAAGACTCAATTTCGCCATGTCGAAAGCAAATGGAAAGTAACTGGGTGACCAAACGGAAATTAGCTAGATGATAACGACCTCGATGAATGTTTAAAGGACTATGAAAGCGCTTGTGCTCGGCTAGTTAATGTGCCCGAGAAGGCTAAAACTGACATCAACGCCGTGTAAAGCATCGTAAATTCTGTATTGGGTTTTTGGTGAGCGATATCCGCTGCACAAGCTTCTCGCCGCAGTCCATCATTGTTTGCAAGTATGTAAAAAGAAATATTTGTTCGAACAAAAATGTTGGGTAGTCACCGTGGCCAATTGTAACCCTCCGTTACCATCTCTGGATGGATGTTAGCCACGCTGACTAGCTAACCAGAATGGCGAGGATTCGGTATGTAGCAAAAGCTGTCAAAAATTAAAATATTCTAAATGCTGTAAACTGCCCACAATAAGTAGCTGTGGTTGTGGTGTATTATTGCTGATGTAGCTGATGTAGCTAGCGAAATAGCTTGTGGCTATGGTACTACATTCTGGTTAGCCAGTGAGACCGGAGGATGCATTAAACTAAGCCTAGCATACTTTGAGGTGCCATCAAATTAAAACTTAAGAAAGTTTTATTACATGGCAGTTGAGAAGTGCATGTGCATTAGAACGCCCGGCGTTAGCACTCGAGCCTAAAAAGTGGTCTTGCCGTCGGAAAATTCAGCTTCGACGACAAAACATCTGTATACATATGTGCATGTATATACATATAGTTTAGCCGAAAACATGTTCGCCTATTTATATAAAAGATTAGAGTGGTCCAAAAATGTATTCGAAAAAATTAAAGTCCGAATGTTAATGCCCTCGCCCCTAGAATTTTTCTATACCAAAAAAATGTACACATTTTTTATTTTGAAATGAAAAAATTTTTACAGGTCGCACAAAGGTATTCGGGGAAAAGCTATTTAACGTTGAAATGGTATAGACTCCTTGGCTAGACTCACAAGACTTCAAGGAATAATACCGAATTGTTTATTAAAAAATTGTTTCATATTAGCGATTTTTTATAGGCTGCATTTTTTGGTATTATTATTGGAAGTGTCCTGAAGAAAAACAGAGATACACAATCGAAAAATAAAGATTTTCTAGAGTCGTGTACCATTTCTACGAAAAATGTTGTTTTTTTTCATATAAATTACATGGAAAATAATTTTTGTGATTTGTCGAAATTTACAAAAAAAAAGTTCTACCATAATTTTTAAGGAGCGTCTTTTGACACTTTCTATGTTTAAACTTAGCTCGAGTTCATTCTGAGGTACCCTTTATTCGCATTCGCAAGACAAATATTTTCTCTCACTTACCCAAATATTTGTTAACGCCCAATATATTTAGTATTCGCAAATACCAATAAATACTGTCTACACAGTAAATCACACGCCCAATATCCATAGTGTTCGGCCGAAAGCGTAACGATAGACCGATCAGGAACAAGATAATAGCAGCTGCATCGCAAGGATTCCACATATTCCAGGCCCACACCGCAAATTTATGGCTGTAGTGGCAAATAGAGCACACATGAAAGCGTAAAATTTAATGGGTTAAAAGAGAGGCAATACATAGTTTGTTACATACATATGTATGTAAGTGTAACTAAAAAAGAATGGCGATAACACACGCTTGTAGTAAAAGTAATATGAGGCAGATGTAATTTAGCGTGAAAAATCGACGCCACGGCAATGGTGTGTAAAAATTGTAAGCGATAATGGAAATGAGAGATAAAATTTTAAGTGTAAAATGTAAAAAGGTAGCCGAAGTGTTTATGTAAGCCAAAAAGTGGTTAAATAGATTTAATTTAAAAAAATTTAGGCATTTAAGTCGCCTTGATAGGCACATCTAATTGGTGATAGAAAGTTAAATTTCCTAAACTGTATATACATACATACATACATACATCTGCAGAACATTTGTTTGCCTTAAATTTTGGTACTTACGTTATAGCCACCGGTTCTGAAGAGATAATTTCACGTATCTTCTCAAAACCCAATGTTGCAATGTACGCAATCGAATAGACTTCCTGCCAACGTGGCGTGGGTCCCATCTTCACTAGAACGGTGTAGGTGAACATGAATAGAAAAAACATGTAGGCAATCTGGGGAAAAAGAAAAGAAAAAATTGCCATTATAAAATAAAATGATTCTTTTCGGCAGCGCTAACAGAAGCAGCAAAACGGAAATTAAAAGCAACGAGTTTTAAAATTCTGAAAACTAAACTAAGGCCGCAGGACTATGAGTATTTCTCTTAAATGTGTGATAATTTAGTTCTTAAAGTAACAAGGAAATGAAAATGGATAAAATACAGGTCTATTACTTAGTACTATATTTACGCTTTAAAGCACAAATAAGAAAAAAATGAATGTATAACTGATGATATTTTTACTGGGAGATTAAATGTTCGCTTTTAAATGTAAAACTTTCATAAACACTTTCATAAACTGCTCGTTAGGAAGTCTTCGCGTTATGCTCTTCGCCATTTAGTAATTAGTTACTTAAAAATTAAATGATATAAAAGAAAAAAATTTAAACAAAATCTAAAAAATAAGAGAAAATTAAATTAAAAAAGTTAAAAAAGTAGAAAAGTAAAAGATTCTAAAACTTAAATAAAATTTAAAAAAAATATTTTTTTCTTTTTAAAACAATAAAATCTGAAACCAAGACCTAAATTAATTGATAAAATAAAAAATAT